CTACTACTATTACTCTAGGTCTTTCCTTTACCAATATAACACATCATGAATATAAATAACCAAAGATATAAACCTAAACCAGTTCAACAAAAAACACTTAAACCCCCTTAACCTTTCTTTTTCTAACATTTGTGGTATTTGTACCAACTTCTGCAGTGTAGAATTGTTCCTCTTTGAAAAGTCTCCGGACATTCTAGCTCTGTGAAACTAATCTTAACTCTTCAATCCTCTCCTCTGATTTCTCGATTCCTGGTTAGCTTCCTCTCCTTAGAAAGGACTCTGAAGTCCACATACATGACCTAAGAGTTTATGTCTATGAACATCTCCCGCTGGCTAGGGAATTCTCTCTTGAATCTCCAGACCTTTCATACATGTGTCTCTGTCTCTCTCTATTTAACTCAGCTATCTTTCTCTACCATTCCACTTCCTCTCAAGACTGTTGCGTGCTAGATAGTATATCCAATAATATAGCTGGAATCCAAACCCTTAACTTCTCAATCACTGAATCTCTCATACGTAGTTGTCTTTACCACACATTTCCCCAGTAGCCCTGACAGATACACTTCTCAATCTCTTTTTTATCTCTATCTCTGACTCTTGTTGTACTATGCAGCTCTACCTATTTAGCCACTCAGATAATGCATTAGTGTCTGTAAACTTCTCCTTCTACTCCCCCACCAGCCAAGAACCTCCTGCCGACAAAATATCTTTCTGTTATCAACAAGCAGATTGGGACTTGTTCTGTGATTTCCTTTGTGATGTTCCTTGGAAAGAAATTTTTAATCATCCTGTTCAAAAATGCATGTCGGAGGTCTTCTGCTGGGTGAAAGCCAGCACAGAATCTTTCATTCCAGTTAGGAAATACCAAGTTAAACTGCATTCATCTCCTTGGTACTCAACTGCATGCTTGGCTGCTATAGCTCACATAAATCACTTCTTCTGACTGTTCAGAGCAAAGCAACACAACTGATTACAACAGATGTTTCTTTATCTTTGCTTGTAATGAGTGCAAGTGTGTGCTCAATGAAGCAAAGTTACTGTTTGTTGATAGAATAAAACATCATATAGCATCTCACAAATTCAGTTCAAGAGATTATTGGCAGCTCTGCAAGAGTGTGCTGAACAACAGAAAATCCTCAATCCCCCTTCTATTCAATCAATTTAAAGTCCTGACATTTACAGCAGATAAGGTGGAATGCTTTGCTCAGAAATTCTCTTGACTCATTTGGAGTACCCACACCTGATTCCCCCCCGCCCTAGAACTGTGTCTATACTGAGGGATAAGCACATAACTCTGTTGTTGGTCTTGGACATCATTTCTAAATTAGACTCTTATAAAGTAAGTGGAGGTGATGGGATACAAGCTATTGTCCTAAAGAAATGTGCTTTCAAGCTGGTTCCAGTTCTCTCCAAACTCTCCAAATATTTATTGCCTTACCACTTCCTGATTTCCAGCCTGTTGAAATTCCTCCTCTGTAGTTCCCGTTTTTAAAAACTCAGGTAAACCTTCTGACACCTCTAACTATTGCCCTATTAGTCTCCTACCTCTTTTTGGCAAAGTATTTGAGGCTTTAATCAATGCTGAAATGTTTAAACATCTTACCTCTCATGACTTACTCTCTGACAACCAATATAGATTGTTTTGCCTGGTCTACTGCTGATGTGCTTATGGCCATCACTGAATATGTATTCTTGATAATAACAGTGAAGCTCGAGCTATGGCTCTAGATATCTCAAAGGTGTTTGAGAGGATTTGGCATGCTGGTCTACTATATAAGCTCCAGGACTACAGTATTACAGGACAATCCAATTTAATCCAATCATTCCTATCAAATCATGAAATGAAGATTATTCTGAATGGGCTAGATTCTAGATCCTTTCACATGAACGTGGGTGCCCCCTACACTGTTTCTGATCTTCATCAATGATCTTCCTGATATCAGTTCCCAAGTAGGCATTTATGCAGATGATACTACCATTTACTCCTGTCTCAATAGCAAATCCATCAGAGCTGACAAAGTTAACCTGGCTGCTACTCTTGAATAGGACCTCCAAAACTAAACTGCTCTCCTTTAACTACCATAGAGAAACTTCCCTGATGCTCAACTCCAGGAGAGCATCTCACTGTGCCTTCTTAACTTCACATTTTCAATTGACTTGAAGTGGAACAACTACATTGAATCAATAGCTGCATTTACTGCAAAGTAGGTTCATTGTTTCATTCCAGACGGTTTTTCTTGTCAGAGTCCATCTTGCACATTTGCAAGTCTACCATTCACCTGGGCATTGAATATTGTTGCCATATCTGCTCTGGTGCCCCTGCTGTTCATCTCAAGGTTCTCAAAAAAATCCAAAGAAGGATCTGTAATGTAATCAATCCTGAATTGGCTTCTTGACTTCGAACACTTTTTCACAGAGGAGGTGTGGCTTCTCTCTGTCTTTTCTACAAATATTTTCAAGGCAAATGCTCTGACAAACTTTTTTCCCTGGTGCCCTAACTACATGAATTTAAGTGTGCTACTAGATTGGCATTTAGGTCCCACCTGTTTACTGTTGAAATAGTTAAATGTAACTGCCACTTCTACTCCAACAGTTTCTTTTCCCACACTTCCTGAGAGTGTAACTCCCTTCCACTTACTTGCTTCCCTGATAACTACAATCTTCAAAAATTTAAATGCAATGTTAATCACCATTTTTTGTTGTTTTGAACTCTGTTCATCTTTTATCTTTTCCTCATTCCCCACTATACTCAGTCTTTCCCCTCACTTTCACTCTCTGTTACTCCCCTATGCTTTTATGCACCCCTGCTTTTCTTGAGGGGAAATGATTAAAAAAAAGTAGATATTGTAGTAGTGGTTATGATGATCTATGGCTGCAGCACATTCTGGTGTGAACCAGTGCTGGCTATTTAATTTTTGCTTATATCTTTTCTGGTGATAAAACTTTTCATGCTAGAAAGGATCTATTCAAAAATGAGTAGAGTAATTCAGGAGGCTCTATTTTTGAAGAATGCTCAGAGAGGAGCTTTCACCATGTGAGATCTGAAGCTATCCCCAGTCTGCTTTGGTGTGCCAATAGATTGTCCAATGAAATGGCACATCAGGGATATTCTTTGATTTGGTATCAACTTTAACACTGACCAGTGAGTGGTATGAAGTGCCCAGTGGAGATAACACCTCAACAGAGCATTCTTCAGGATAGGATATAAGGAAGAGGTCTAAGAGTGTGATTTTCTGTTGTATTGCGAATATAAGTGGGATTATCCATGATCTGTGTCAGCTTGTAAGTGATGGAGAAGACTTCTTCATCGGTTTTGCTTGAGTGGACTAACCACTCTTTGTGGTGAATATTGAAAACACAACATGTATGAACACTGGCCAATAGATATTCAGAGAGGATATCATCAGTCTTCACAGCTATTTTGCTGATTATTGCAGTTCTATCATCTAGTGGACAATAAAGAGTGAAAACAAAGGATGTACTATGAACAATTGTTAGACTGGTCTCCAGTGATGAAATATCTCATTATCTCCCAAGACAGCATTCTCTTTTATACCCATGAATGTTATCAATATTCAAATATACACCTCAGGAGGTCATATTTTTTTTTTATTGTGGTTACTAAACCATACACAGCCAGATTGTTGTCTCTTTTGATACTGACTGGTAAAGTCAATTGTTTTCAGTTGTTCTGCTACATTCCACTGTTTCCAAACAAACCAAATGTTATTCTTCATTTGTCACTATAATAAAAGTTTCTATATTAATTTAAACTAATCATTATTATTTTTAATACTGTATTCACATTATTACATAGAAAGATTTTGTTTTAATAGAATATATACAAATAAGCTATAGATTATTTAAGTTCATTCTTTCATTATACTGATATGATTTTTCAGATAAATTCAGCAACTAAAAAGAAGATCTCAATGAACAATGAAAATTATTTTCTTAAGATATAAACATTTATATGTAGTATTACTTAAAAGTATAAGGCATATTAGAATTAATTTTGCAATAATTGAAATAAATTAGAACTTTAAATTCAATTAGAAGCAGATTTTCAAGTTTTAAATGCAGAACCAGCCAGGTTTTATAAGTGTGCTTTGTGGGTCAAGTATAGTGAGGCTAAAATTGTGAAAATTAACAAAATCAGTTTAGGGGCAGAATTAATGCAGTATAAACATGCATTGAAAAATAAAGAAATGCAGTCACAGAAAAAACATTAGCAGTCAAACTAATAACAAATTGAGAGCAACTAATTAAAAATAGCTTTTAAAATGTTAGTTTAGGGGGAAAAGAGACGTAGAAATGCATTTGGTATTAAAATTTATAACAATGAAAATATCTAAAATAGAAAAAAATGGTCTCTGTTGCCAGCTACTTCAGTGGTAGGTCATTGGTTTGGTAGAGCTCAAAATCCAAACAAAATGTTAAGCACATAAAGATTAAAGACTAATAGTTGTTATGTAGTAAAAGAAATCAGAAATAGAAATGATTTTCACCAATGCTTCTCTGTTTTCTTGTCTATTCCTTTATTTTTCTTTCTAAGCATTGCATATTTTATTAAATGAAGCATGACTTAACAAAAACAACTTTTTATCCACTCGTTTTCTTTGTTTAAAGTATTTACACTTCATCTTAAATCAATCAATAGTCTTCAACAGTTATTTAGAATCAGTTCTAAATTTCGCTTTTGAGCAATGTATTTTAAAATTAGTTCCTATTATTTTGTGTTTCATGAAAAACTAATTCTTGTCATTTGAAAACAATACAAAACAGAACATATATAACATTGATGCAAAATAAAACTAACATTAAAAGCAAGATTTTAAAAAAAAAATTGTCATGCAAATTTCATGCAGCAGCAGTTGCATATAAAAAAGAGGAACGGCTGGTTTCATGCAAAGTGGTCATCAAGCAAGCAGCAAGAGCAGGGGATAACGGAGGGGATGACGGAGAATGGGATGAATTTTGTAAGTGTCATCGTAACCTACCTGCTAGATGCATAGCACTACTACTTCGTCGTGAAAGCCCAACAAATGCTGCCACCTTGTGACCGAGGCTTGGCCGTCGTTTCCTACCTTCTATAACACTGGAAGAAACAGCAGAATCCGAAATGCTTCCGTCATTCCGTTCAAAGCTTGAACTTTCGGAGCTTGGACTTCGAATAATCTGTCTCTTTGGCATTGTAGTGCGACTCTCCATCTTTGATGTAAATTCACTGATATTTGCCAAAAGAAAAAAAGAAAAGAAAAAAAAAAAAGAAAACAGATTTGTCCAAGTCATTAAGATACAAAAAAATTACACTAGAAAAAATGTTTGCATTAAAAAACACAAATGAAAAACACTTATATTTATATTTAATATAAATTATATTACTTATAAAATGCCAAATTACTATAAAGTAGAGCTAAGGCTTTTTAATCTCAGAATTTGTGGGAGAATTTGAGCTCCAATTTTGCATTTATCCATATAGATTCTATAATATAGGTTTTACTTAATTAGCTATTATGTTGCTCTAACTCTTCAAATGTTGAAGGTATAACTAATTCTAATTTCTATTTTCCCATCTTTACACTATATTAATTTTATCTTATAAATTGTCCCCTGTTCTGTCACCCATGAAATAAAAATAATTGTTTGTATGGAAAATAAAGATCTGTGTACATCAAATCGTCTTTAAATTAAGTGGCAGCAGAAGAATTATTGTTGAATTTTTAAAAGGTAAGCTTAAACATTAATTCAATACTTAAATGCAATGATCACTTTTGAGTTCTTCTGTAGTTTATTAATGCCTATTGCATCTACTCCTCCCTATCTATTGTGATGATGACCAAACCAATAGTCCTCCACAAGAACTAGTTTAAATACTGCTTGATAGGGCAGTTTTTAAACTAGCTTAAAATTTTAGTTAGCTTAAAAAGGAAAGTAAGAGTTACTCCCCTTGAACCATGAAAGCAACGATAATGGGTAGTATAATATATTAATATATATTTTTAACCTCACATAATCTGGCAACCTTGAATCTAAGCTCAACGAAAATCATTCCTTGCACCTAATTCTTCTAGGGCTTTTGAATGAGTTATAAATGAGTTGAAATCATACCAGTGGGAGCGGGAGGAGTTGCTTGTACACACACACACATGCACAAATGCACACATATACACTGTACTTTATATATAAGATTTCTGACTAAAGAAAGATTTGCTCACTAAAAGAATGTATTTTACAAAATAATGGCCACCTAAATTTTCTGTGGGGTCTTTCTGACTGTGTAGAACGCATGCTGATTGTGCTAACTTTAGATACTTCAGACATGTCACTTGTTTCTGATGCATCACTTGGCAAGTTGTCATCTGAAACATCAGGGCTGAATTCTAGATAAAAACAATATAGAAAAAATGCATATTATTCAAATGAAAAATAATGTTGATAAAGAAAAACAATTTGAACAATTCAACAGAATGCCTAATATTAGAAATAAGTTATATTGGAAAAATCAGAATAAGAAAACATTACATTTCTTAAAAAAAAAAGAAGCATACTTTTCTCAAAATATGCCTTGTATAAAATTAACAAACATAAATTTGATGTATTACTAAAAACCAAATATTATTATCAGTTCATCAGGTGATATTAACTGAAAGTAACATTACTTGTGCAACTTTGTTATTAATGTAAAAGTGTTTTGAAAAGTATCTGAAAAACAGAAACATCAATCTATGAAATGATATTAAGAAAAGTTTACTTTAGGTAAATTAAAAATTCTGTAACATAAACAAGAGATAATTTCAAATGCTATAGAACCAGGTTTGTGGTAAAAAGTGATTTCTTGACAAGAAATTTTCCAGCTGCAACAGGGCAAGTATGTAACTATTTTCTTTCACAAGTTTAAGTTCTTATGAAATATGAACCTTTACCTTTTCTTCGCCTAGATCTGTGTCCACGTTCTAAATCACGCCCATGACTATGGTGACCATGCATATCATATCGATCATGTCGATCTCTAAAATCTGCATCACGCAATCGTCCACGATGATGATGATGTGCAATTTCACTGTCTGATGATGGGGCACCATGACTACTTGGACCACGCCCATGTCTGTATTGAGCATTCATTTTCATTTTTAGTTTCATCTGTCTTGCACGTTCTTCAAGATCTTGAGTAACTAAAAGGAAAAATAATTAAAAAATACTCTGATCGATACAAAAACAAAAGCACAACTTTTTGTGATTATTTAATGGAATTCAATTGATAGCATTTTAAAAGGACAACACACACATACAACTTTCTTAACTTATCCACACACACACACACGCACATATATTGTGACATTGCCTTCAATGTTAACTTAAATCAGAAGTATAATAAATTTGATAAGAGATGTGCTGTCTTTGTGTTTCTACTTCCTCTCCCTCCTTTTTTTTTTTTTTTTTTGGCTTATTACCTATTTGGATTGAGTTTTGTTTTGACTAAGAAAGGTCAGGAAAGGAATTTGGGTCACTTGACCTCAAACAGAATGACCTCCTAAGAAAGTGAGTAAGAATCAATCACTTACATTCATGTGACATACATCACCAAGCGGGATCTTGGGTCTATTTGATTATTTAGTGGGTAAAGGATAAAAGAAGATCATACCCAAAGAAATCATTGTACTTTCATCTTGGATGTAATCCAATGAACCAAGGGGAAACGGAATACAAACATTATCCCAGAATTCTATATTTCACATTGTAGAAGAAAAAAAAAAACCAACCAACTTTTGTGAACATTCTACAGCAACTTTGCCTGTCATTATGAACCTTTGAACTCCAAATTCCTGAAATACAAATGTTTGAACTGACATCCAATATCAGTTAAGTGTTCTTTTATTAATTGTATGTCTGTCACACCATACTTTTCACATATGTATTTTATTATATAAAATTTATTTACAAATGTTAATCTTGTTACCTGTTTGTGTAGAACATCACCTTTATTTTTTTTTTTTAACCTGGAGTTCATATCTTTATATGTTGCAAATTCATAACTATATATTTATATATATATATATATATATATATATATATATATATATATATATATATATATATATATATATAGTTATGTAGGGCAAGATTTATCGTGTTTGAAAAGTTTTTCTTCTTACAAATAGTCAAATTTATGACACTGCTTTCATTTGCTGTATTGTCATGTTTAAGTTTCTCTAATGTCCTACAAACACAGAAAAAGAAAATTTTTTAAAAATCAACTACAAGATTTTAATTTTTTGCAAATTAGAACTATATTATTAACATTGATCTAAAAAGTATCATTTTCTTGTAAAAATTCACAACTATTTTTTAAAATATTTAAACAGAATTATTTGGTTTATTACCTCATCCATCCACAAATGTTAATTCCTCTGTTTATTTTAACCGATACTATTTTTATGAAGACTAGTTTATTGTATTGTTTTTTTATGGCTCATCAACTCCTTGTGGATTATTTAAAACTGAAACATATTTTGGATTGTAAGAATAATTCTTAATTTTCAAGTGAATATTGCATTAACAATTTCTTGAGGATATCATGATTTTTCCAGATACAAGTCCTACAATTTAATCCAAAGTTGGTGGGGGAAGATGGATTCCTACCTTTCCCAAGGGTATTTGCACATAATTAAATGTAATAAATCAGACTGAAATTGAAACTTGGCTCTCTGATTTCTCAGTCCAAGATGCTATCCATTACACCACCCACACATCCATGTAGACTAACAGTTGAATAAAAAAAATGTAGTTTCATACCTGTTGAAATGATAGAGTACAAATAAGGTTAGTCATTAAATTAACATTTTTTGTTTTATATGCTAAAATGTATCTAATCTAAATGTATGAGGACATGCTGAAAGAAATACCTGGAAAATACCTGGGAAATGCATTTTTTCAAAATTTATAATTACAGTATAGAGTAATAGCAGTGTCAAGTGAAAACTGTCCTTTTGAAACACTATTTTTTGTGGGTACACATGTTAAACATTGGCCTTTTTTTATATGGACACATCTATATATTCCTTGAACTGTGTCAAAGTTTTCTTTACAAATTTGGCACTTTTCAAGTAATAAATGAAGGCTAAGCTTTCATAACAAATTTTGTATTCTGAAATTATTCCAGATATCATTAAAAAATAAACTTTAAGAATATTAAGTAATCACTAAAATTTTTTTTGTAGATAATTTTTACTTTGTGCTAATATTTTGATGAAGAGAAAATGGATTCACTTTTGGATACTCATTACAAATTCTTTTTAAAAAGTTTACTACATGGATAGTGTAAATTAGATCTCTTTCTGATTTTCTCCACATCAAAACTTGTCAGTTGGATGTGAATGCTATGAAAGCTAAACTAAAAGTAAAAAAAAAATTGCGCTATGCACCGGGGTTGTGAGTATAACATTTGGCTCCAAAATATAAAATACAATTTAAATGTCGGTGCCAATCATGAACATTGCTGCTAAAGCAAAAGCATAACAAAAAATGCTGAGTCATGTATTCCATCTGACAGCATAAAAGGACACTGCTCACAACACTCAGTGATGGGGTAGGAAGCAGAGTAGACAAGCATTGAACCATAGAAACCACTAGTGGCTTTGATCAGCCACAAGAGACAATCTTCAATAGTAGGCCCTACAGACTCCACCATCCTCCAGGTCACTTTCCGCACATACAAAGAGACATTCCACCTTGATCCTCTATATCAGCAATACAAAGAATTTTATTTTAACAATTCTTATCTTTGTTTTTTCTACTTCATCAACAGTACTTTGTTATTTGTTTGTTCTCTTGGCTACCATATGTGAAACATAACTATAGTGATTATTAAAATTGGTATCACTATGATTTGCTTTAAATAGTCTGTGCAAAACTGTAGGCATGGAAATGTAGAGTTATAATCTCATATAAATTAAATATACTTACATTAATCCATGTGTGTGTTCCCAAAAATTAAAGATAAAAGAATCTCTTGTCATTAAGGGAAAAACCACAAAGAAGTTTGACATGAAGGCATATACAAAATGAAAATATATATGACCAGTATGCAGTTTTCACTCAACTTACCACGATCTCTACTAGCAATTTGTGCTTCGATTGGAATAGATGGAAGCTGTCGTTTTTTTGGTGAAGGTGTACTTGAGGGAGTCCCTCCAGCAGACCGTGATGTAGTAGGCAGCACTCGAATTGGGGACATAGCTCGATTTTGTCTGAAAATTATAGTAATCAACTCAATCCACATAATATCATAACAATAGATTATTTACAGAATGTAAAATGAAAAATTAAAAAAATATATTGAGTAATAAATTAAAAATGTTTTTGTAAATATAATTATTAAAAAAGTATTTATTATTACAAAATAATACTTCAACCCTTAACTGGTAGGAAAATGTTAAGATTTTTAAAACCTGTTAAATAAAAAATGTACAATAATAATAAATTTATAATATATATTTAAAAATGCTTTAAGTCAAAATAATTAACATAGTAAAAAGAATAAAGTTTCTGAATTTTTGTAGGCAGATTTAACTTAGGGAATATGAAGGAAAGATAATAACCTTGACAACGTCTCAGGCACTTGGTGTCGGGCAGGAGATCGAGTTGTCCTTGATGATCCATGGTTAATATCTTCAACAGGTGACCTTGACCTTTGTCTTGATCCCTTCTCTGGGACTACGAGTGACTCACCACCCGAATGTTTTCGGTGATCATCAAGCTCATCTCTAGCTATAACTGGAACAAAAAATTAGCAACTAAAGATATTACAAGTACATAACTAACAAATTCAAAATATAAATAAACTAAATGATGTTAAAATTGATATTAACGACCATATAAATAAGTGTAATTCATTTATATAATTTCTTTATAGAGTAGAAAAATAACTTACCAATGAAATATTTTTAATTTGTAAGTAATAAAGTTATGAGGTTGTTGGAAAATGATTTATAAAGTTTTATTATTTGAAAGTATATATTTGAGGAGAATAAATCTGAATGAACATAAAATTTCCTGTGTTCTTTTCAAACAATCTTCATTAATTTTCAAAGTGAAATAATTTCTAATTAAGAAAATCAACATTATTTTGTTTCATATGACATTAATGTTTTTTTATTCTTGCTCATGATATTTAAAGTAATCTTAAATGAAAGATATGTTAGGTATTAAATATCTATAAAATGTGTCACCTTTCAAAATATTGAGGTGGACAGATATGTTAGGTTAGCTTATACCATAATTTATCTTAACACTGTTTACTTTTAAAATGTTAATTAAATAAAGATAATAGATTAACAATGATAATTATTAATTGAAACAAAAATGTTTACCAAATGAGCATGAATGATGATAATTACTATTAAAAATAAGCATTATAAATTTCAATAAAAGTTACTGTCATATATCTTCAAATATGTTTAGGCAATAATAATTTGATAAATAAAAGAAATCAGTAATAAAATGAAATCAGTACTATAAAATGTATTATTAAGAGAAATTAGATAAATATATACATAATTTATAATGCAACACTTGTGAAAATACATTTTATAGCTGCTGTATGTATCACTAATACAAAGAAATATTAACTTTTGGTTTGATACAAACTAAATTAGAAAAAGTAAAATAAAAGATGCCAAGAAAAATATACAAAAACAAAGAATTTTTGAATCTGAAAAAATATCCTTATGCGTTATTTATATACATCAAATATGCATTGAGAATTAATTTTTCTACCATTTGTTGACTGTCTAAATCAAAGGTAATTGGATAAAATCAATTTGTGATTTATTAGAAATTATTCCAATGTCTATAAATACACAATATCAGATTTTATTATACAACACAATGTTTTCAAAATAAAATTAGGATATTTATATGATAATTATACCATGTTAATTTCAGCTTTTATATATATATATATATATATATATATATATATAATTACTGATATTTATTTTTTTATTTTAGATATATGAAAATTTCCATGGTTCATAAGAAAGATGTAATCTCAATAGAGAAGCAAGATATTACAATGTTTTTTGAGTGATATGAACGCAGCATTGGAAATTGAGTTGAAAGTCAGAAAATAACAAAAAAGAAACTGAAAAAATTAACAAGACAAGAAGAAGAAAAAATGGCTTTAAGAATCACAAAACGAAATTTGAGAAAATTTAAAATGATAAGCAAGAAAAGTGGTTTGTCCAGCAAGAAAATATTGACAGTATTTAAAGAAGCTGGTATTACAAATGTAAATGGAGAGAAAAGATGCAGATTAATAAGAATATTGGTTAAAGATATGAAAATGAACAAGTCATGAGTTTTATGTAAGTATCACAGATAGAATCAATTTGGATGAAGAGGTACATGAAAACTGATTTCTGAAGAGTAATTTTTAGTGATGAATGGATATTTATATTGGGCGGACATGATGGATGGGTTTGAGGTTGGGTCTTTTATGGAAATAGTTAACTAATACAACTTAAAAGACAACTGGGGAAGTAGAGATAATAGGCAATAAAATTATAGGTCCTTAAGTTGATGATGGTACATGTCACAACCAAAAAAATATTTTCATAAAAGACAATAATCCTTTACAATCAGCAAAGCTGATTATTATCCACCTTGCCAAACAAGGTTTAAAATACACCAAATTAATAGAATGGTCCCAGCTTCTTCAGGTATTAATCCAATAGAAAAACTTTTAAGCAATTAAGAAATGTACATAAAAATAGAAAACACTATTCAGGGAAGGAAGATCTTGAGGATGCAATAAAAATTACTGACAGTAATGTTAAAATCAAAAGAGTAGAAAAAGTTAACAAAAACAATGAATGAAAGACTGATGAAGGTTATAGAATATCAAGGAACCCATATTAACATGTAAAATAATATTAAATTAATAATCTATTCAAGTATATGGGGTAACATACATTTCTATAGCCTATATTTTTTAATTTATGAAATGAAAAATGAAATGTTGCATAATAAAATCTAACATGCCCCAAACAATTTATGATAAATATTTTTAGTAAGGATATTATATGCTGAAACTTACATGATATTTATTACTCATATAAATATATTTACACTATTCACATTGTTCAGACTGTTGTCCTCATCTTTGTTGCCATATTTATGACGACATTTCAGCCATTGTATGCTCTGGCCTTCTTCAAGTGATTGGAATTTTGAACCGAATCCTTTATTTTATCCACTGGGTTAGACTGTTCTAATTCCATGTGCCATGCCTCTTCCGGATGTTTCAGTTAACTCAATTCTCCAAGTTTATCACTGCACTAGCCAGGTATTGAACTCACATCTCTTTGGGTCAAGTCACTGGATCCAACCAACGCTTTTATCCACTGGGCCATGTGTCTTTAAGAAGCATCAACAGCCGAAACATCATGAATATGGAAACAAAGATGAGGACAAATGTCTGAACAATGTAAGTAGTGCAGATAATTACAATATCTCATTTCAGAACTATAGACAGATATAAATATATCTTGAAAATTTTACCAACAGTTACTTAATACCATTTCGGTTGTGAAAACATTGACTTGTATAAAATTTGACACAATGCACATGCAACAATATATAAAAAATATTCTGACAAAGTTATTAAAAAAAATTGTAAATGTAATCAATCTGGTAAAAATATTTTATAAAATACCCTGATTGACAAAGATTCTGTTTCCGATGAAATGCTTACAGTTTTTGTGAGGTTTTTTTCTATTGTTTCTGAATGTATTGTTTCTGAATGTATACAGAAGGTGAGGATTGAGAGATGGAATAAAACTGAAGAACAAGTAGTTAATATAAAGTCTTAGACTGTTAACAAATGCAACATACACTTGTGGATAATTTTTGGTTTTATTTCTTAATGTTAAATGTTAAAGAACAAAAATCTGAAATGAAGCTAACAGTACAAAATTTCAGAAAAATATTTGCTCAATATCAATAAGAAAGGCATAGTTGATGTTTCATAATATTGGCAAAAGTAAAAAACAAAAAAACAACAAAAAACAATGAAAACGAAAGCGAAAATAAAACAAAACCACAAGAAAATTTTTTGAAATAGCATAAGGAATAAGCAACATTTTAAAATAACCAAAATCTATACAAAATATAAATTACTCTCAAAATTTCCACCAGAGTCAAAGTAATTTTGTTACCAATTCTAATGATTATACTGTATGTATCAAATTAGAAGAAAATGATTGAAATATGATAATCCAAATACATTTCAGATGATGCTCATAAATATTTTTAAAGAATAATTATAAGACATTTTACTATTAATTTTGTTTATCATTTTTTCTAATGAATATTTTTTATGTTAGGTGACTAATATATTTGTGGGAAATTTTGATAAGCAACTCTTGATTTATAAGGAAGTAATCTATAAATAAGCTCATCATGTGTCCCAGTTTGAGAGGTTTGTCCTGGTGATTAAAGCATGCCCTGAGGCTTATGAAAATTCAATCTATAAGAAAAAATGAAAACTGTCCCAGTTTAGATATTATGATAAAAAAATGATGGAGGAAAAGATAAATCCTTTTCTTTAAAATATAAAATGAGATTTATTTTCAAGTTAGTTTTATAATTCATTAAAATTGAGACAACTGTGTAGAGAATTCAAATCAGCCAATGAAATGTGAATAGCATGAAAAGAGTGCAAATTATGAAAGAAGCTGCCACTTGTAGTGTCAGGAGATGAGTAAATTGTTTCTGATTAGGCATTTTCTTTTCAGCCTTAATAACAAAATGGAAATATACAGATATCAGTATAATGAAAGAAACCATGATTTTAGATAGAAATGAGCTGAGCCATTTAATCATGGTTAGTAAACCATATTTCTTTATGTTGCAATTAACATTCTGTAGTAGTCACATAATTTTTGCTTGTTTATATTCTCATTTGATTTTTAAAATTAACCCAAGCTTAATTTATAAAAGGTTGACTTCTTTTTTTTAATTGGTCTATTCAATAAACTTACAAATTTATAAATTCTTAATTCATCTGTAAAGAGATGGGGAAAATTTATTAAATATTCTATAAAAATCTTTATTGGAGGCATTGTCTTAACAATATGATAAATAAACAGAACATTAAAAACAAAACAAAACACTACTAGTGACAAAGAAAAAGATTGGTAGACATTCATTTAGGATCTGAGCTGAATATCAACATAAAGATAATATCCACTTCAGACTTTCAGTCAACTCATTATTATAGAAATGAAACCATAAAACACAATCAAGTTTTCATATATCTATTACTTAAAGACACAAGCACAACAACCACAAGAGACAGACCACATTAAATTAAATTTCTGATTATAAAAGGCACAATTTTTTAAAGTCAATAAAAAGAATGTAAGTAGATAACTTGATTCTAGTGTTTAAAAAAAAGACAAATTGATTTGCACTGTCTGAATCTACCTGTGCCACTGCGGCGTCTGGTGATTGGAGATCCCACCCCACGATCTCTGCGGGATTTGCATCTGCCATCGGCATGATCAGAATAATCATCAAGGTGGGCAGCATTGATGGCACCACTCACAGAGCTGATACTAGTTCGCATTCTTCCTAATAGGGCAGCACCTGGATAGCAGTTAGAATTAGATTAGCTTCTTCTTTTAGAACAAAGAAACATCCCATTGTTTGTTTGTACTGAAAATATTAGCCTTCTTATTGTTATAAGTTCAGAATGGGAAAATATCAAAAGAAAAAGGTTAACAGAAAAAGAATCTATTGCCAAAAGATTAATGAAATCAACTAGAAAACCCAAAATGAAAATTAAGCAACAAATAGAATCAATAGGAAGTAATAATATTTCATCTTGTGACTGAACATTCACCAAATTCAAGTTTTCAATGACTATACTTCAGTAAGATATCCATGTAATTGTGAGCTATAGACAGAAGGATATGCAAGGAAAATACCTTTATAAAACATGACATATATACACATTCATATCTAAAATGCATGTAGGTATGCATGTGCACACACAAGTTCAAATTGGAAGAGACACAAATATATAAACAATAAAAATGCTTGATAAATTTGGATGGATAAGGTACAATAATAAATGTTAATGAATGGTGTAGCATGCAAACAAATTTAATATACTTTTAAATTTTCAGATAAATAGTATTTCTCCATTATTATTTTATTACTAGTTTCACACCATCATTTATGCTTTTTACCACAACACTGTCAATACTCTTTGACCATTAGAGTAAACAGTGTGAAATCAGAAAATAAAGAAGTCACTTTCACCATGACTTGAACTCTTATCTCACATTTTGAGAGGCTATTTTTATGGATGTCGCCATAACAATGACATTGGCAACAGATGCATCAAGGATCATGCAGAACATAATCTGTAGTCATTCTGCCAATCTGCTTCTGATTCCATGACATTATTAATTTTATTATAGTTCATTTTTATCACAATATGGGGTAAAACTAGTAAAAAATTAATAGATTTAACATAGATAACAGCAGAATTATATAAATAGTAATTGAAAATAAATTAAAATCATCACAAACAAGTCTTATAAAAATGTTATATTCAGAAAGTGAACACTTGAAGTACAAAAGCATGCAAATTGTATACATTGAATACTTGTTAATAAAAAACTGGATGTTTACTTGTAGAAAATTATATAAAAAATTCAGTGATTTTTAAAAGATCAGTAAATAGAAAGATTTTTAGTTTAATAGAAATATTTAAAATTAAAATACACATGTAATTAATTTCTTTTCATCAGGACAAATTTACAAAGTGAACCTAAAATTTATACAAATACTGGACTCATAAAGAGGCTACAGATATTATTTTCAATGTTGTAAGACTTTTTTGTATATTTTACTTTTATTATGGTAATGGTTAACAAATGAAATATAAATAATAAGAAACTAAGAGGATTATTGAAAAATTAGTGACATCTTCTATGTAGCAGTGAAAGATGGATTTCTAAGCAGAATTGAGCAACATTGGAATGGTAATTCAGAGATGTATTAGTATTAATTTTAATTTCAGTTAGAATTTTAAAAAAAAGCTTGGAAATATGGGGAGTAATATAAACTAAAGTGCAAATCAAAGACATTCGTACACTGGGCGGCTTTGCTCTCACCCACTTATAGAAATGAGCTCAGCGAGATGATTTATATGTGAAGTCAAAGTAATAGATAAAAATGTAGTGTAGTTGTGACAGCCATAGGATGTTGACTATTTGGCAAATAGAATGTTTGTTGAAGTCAAAAAGATGGGGAATTATCTCAGAAGTTGCAACTGGTTTAGGTTTTTCTAAGACAACAAAAGCTAGAGTATGCTAGGAATATGTGAAGTTTGACAGTCATCAATGGCACATGAAAACTAAAGGCATTCACATATGATACAAGAACAGCTGACAAGGATGGTCACTAACCAATGAAAGGAAACACTGCATTAAATCACATTATAATTCAACACTAATGCCATTTAATCTATCAGTCAAAGGACTGTACATCATGCATTCCATTCCATTCAAAAATTAAAAAGTCAAAAGAACATTGCCATTGGACCATGAAAGGACATTGGTCATGTTTCCAGCACTTTCAGCAAGGTAGTCAAGATCATATGGTGGAGTAGGCTGTATGAGCTATGCATCCAACCTGTTAGCAAGTTGTGTAAGCTGCTAGTAACACTGTAAGTAATGTTGTTGAGTGTGTTAACAATGACCACCCTTAGTGAAACTGGATTCTATCTTGACACGTATGACATACACACATCTTTTTGCAGACCATTTATAATCCTATGTGCTTTTTATGATTTCTTGTTGTGTTAGTTTGTTCCAGAATGATAATGTAATCCTTCATCAAATGCAGGTGACATGGATCTGGTTCATTGTAATCAAGTGGTTATCATACTCATTAGACTTAAACCCAGTTGAGCATGAATAGAAAAGGTTGCAAGTTTCCTTAATTCTCTGCAGCCAAATCCAATAATTTATTTCTAAATTTTTGACACTTAAGTTTATATTCATTTTGTGATATTATTTGCATATTGGTTAAATAAAGACTTAAAAGCAGTTTTTCTTAAACCAAAAAGCTATTATGACGTGATATAGTTTGAGATATTTATAAGATAGTTAAATAAAAGTTTGAATATACAAACCATATTTTATTGATACTTTGGATTTTGTTGGTATTCACGTAGTAAAAATCTGACTATAATGTAAATCAATATATCTTTATCATTATATTTGTACATTCATTTTACAACCACCTGCCCTACAAAAAAAAGAATGATTCAGAATTTCTTTATAAAAACAATGTACAATATTAAGGAGGTATATAATTTTAATTCAATAAATGCATGAATATGGAGTTGAGAGAACATTTCTAAGTACTTCTTAGTTTAAAGAGAATTTAAAATTTAATGAGAAGTTCTGTTAAATTTTATATTAGATAAACTGTCAAAAAAATTAAAGCTTCTATACAAATTTAGATATTTAATAAATCTTGATCTTTCTGATTAATGGACATGTTGCATGTAATCTGACAATACAATAGAGATAAAATGTAGAAAGAGTAATCTAATGTTGAAAGAATATGTTTTTGCTATTATAAAAAGAAAAATCTATTGAGATGTTTTATTGTAGCCTATTTTGGTGTAGCTGAAAATATTTTTGCAGCTATCATTGAGCATTCAACAAAATAACATCTTGTATATTGATGTCATTTTTCACAAAAGTCAATTTGAATGTAACTAATTTGACTAACATCTCTCTCTCTCACTCTATATATAAGGCTCAAATTATAACAAAATTATAACTATGGAATATTAGTGCCTTTTATATTATATTCTTGCTCTGTCCTGGACATTGAGCTCTACCTGGATTCTATCCTCTTGGAAATTATATATATATATATATATATATATATATATATATATATAGAGAGAGAGAGAGAGAGAGATAAGTAAACTTCTAAATGATATTATTGGTGCTTACAATTTTTATTGAAATTAATTTAATTTTCCATATTGCTGTAGAATGAAATTATATATGTAGTATATCACAACACTTATTAAAAAAAATAATTTCTAGACATTTTTGTAGAGTACAACATGCAGTCAGTGTTAAATGTTGGATGCAGGCACAATTGAATACAGTGGATGAATAAAAGTGAAAAAAAAGAAATTTTTCAAAATGCATAAAACAGACATGAGTGTTTAAAAAAAAAGAGAAAAATACTGTTTTGTAAATGATAAGTAGAAATAATTTATTTCTCATAAATTCTACTATGACTGAAAAACTAATGAAGTTTGATGTTACATAATTTATGAAAAATGCTCAACATTTAAAATCATTATATTTCTGAATTTACAAATTATTTGTATATGAAAATGTAAAAAGATATGTGCTGATTTTTTTCATTTTTATCATTATGAAAACCAAAATGTTGGTCAATTACAAGCACTTTTTGTATAAAGTATTATCTATTGCCTTTTAGAAGATAATAAGAAATTATTGAATCAAACTATTCCCATTAAAATTTTTTTCATATTTTATAAATAAGATTTGATCTTGAAAAAATAAATTTATGGAATACACTCCCTGTCAAAAATAAATGTAAGTAGTTTTGAAATATTTTGAGTAATTGAGCTTTATTAAAATAAGATAAATTAATATCATGATAGTTACAAAATAGCAATTATTTGATTAACTTTTTTACTCCTTTAATTTTTAAAAAATTAAAGCAACTATTATAAATAGATCATTAAATTGTAAATTTCTAGTCTGAAGATAAATTATCAAATAACATTTCCATTAATAAAAATCCTGTATAAATAAGCCAAAAAAACATTCAGAATAGTTTCAGAGTAAATAACAAATTAAGCTGAACAAATTGCTGCAACTTATCTAATATATTATCATGTCTTTAATATAAACAAGCGACAGATAATTAGATTTGAATTTGTGAAAATAATTAAACTGTATGATTTTCTCACAATTGTAGGTAACAAATTAGTTTATTCTAATTTTAGCTTTGTACACCTTAAGATATGACAAATAAAGAGGAAATTGTAACAAGCAAAATGATCTTTTATGATACAGAATTCTTTTGTAAAAGAAAATTTCAGAGAATAAAAAAAAAAACAACTTTATTTTAGAAAGAAAATTGACATTTGTTTCCTTTCTTGTCTGATTTTATTCTTATAGTTGTTCTTCATTTTTTTTTGTTTACTGTTAATTCACCCAATACAAAGCCCAAGGGCCACTCAAAATAGATGGTTACTGGGTAAAATATTCTGCTTCTTTTTGCAGGTAAAGTTAAGAGGCTAAGTAGAAGAATCCAGAAAGTGTAATAAAAATGAAAAGAATCTGCTAAGAAATATATTGATTCTTAAAAGAATCCATAGTAATTAACATACTAAATACAAAAATATCAACTTACCACACTTTAATATACTTAATATAAATTAAGAAATTCTTTCATTTAATTTTGATGTGTATTCTAAATAAAACATTTTTTACTAAGAATAAATAAAAACTCATATTTTACAATTAATACAAAATCACATATACAAAATATATAATTCTAGTATAGTT